CCACTGCACCACCACCAGGGAAGCCTGGAGTCAACTTTTAAATCCCTTTTGCCCTTCTTTCTTCAACTCCTACAGGCAGCCTCCTTTATCTTTCTTTTCCTATCACCCTTGTCATTGTGACCCTGTGCAACTAAATTACTATCTCTCAGCCTCAGTTGCCTCACTTCTTAGGGATATTGCAAGAATTAAATAGGTTCATTCATACAAAGCACTTAGAACAGTGTTAAATAAAGATGGTGGTGGAGGCGGTCGTTATTCATGTTGAGCGTATGTCATCAGAATAAAAATGTGATGCGGGAAGAGTCTCCTCTCACCCCCAAATGTAATTGGGTCTGAGCTATAGCCTTTAGAGCTGGCCCAGCATGGAGTTGACAGTGTACACGACTAAAATATCCAAGATGGGAGTTAGGAATTTTCTCTTTGGGGGTCTTGGCACATGGGTGTGGCTTTCATTGTAGCTGTTCCTCACAGAGAGCAGGGATGTGGCCCAGGCAGCTCTCGGGGTCTTTTCTGTTTTATCCCTTTATATGTTATAGGGGAGTATTTAATTTTTTAAAATTTATTTGCTTACTTTTTTCAACGAAACTGAAAGGTATATCCAGAAGGAATGCAGTGGTGTAAAAGCATTTAAGTGATTACGTGGAAAAGTATACAATAATGTAAAGATTTCATTCACTCTGAAAATGAAATAAATCTTTTTGGGTTTTTTTGTAAATTTTGAAATGGAACCCATGATCTATCTCTTCCCTCCTTTTCTTTCTCTTCCCCTCCCCCCCATTCTCATTCTCTCTTTTTCTTTCATTCTCTCTCTTCCTCCCTCATTCTCTCTCTCTCTCTCTCTCTCTCTCTCTCTCTCTCTCTCTCTCTCTCTCTCTCTCTCTGGCTCACTCTGTGGCTCTCTTTCTCTCTTTTTCTCTGATGGCTGATGCAGGAAAGAAGACCTTTAAACGAGGAAATAAGAAGGATTCTGCTGTTATCTCTGGAGGAATCCTAGAAGTGTTCATCAAAGAGGCGAAGAATTTGACAGCAGTGAAATCAGGAGGCACTTCTGATAGCTTTGTGAAGGGGTAATTTTGTTTGAGCTCATTTTCGATGGTACTTAATGGGAGATGAAAAGGTCTGTGATCCACGAGACAGTGGTGGCTGTGAGGCTTCTGTGTTGTTTTTATCCTAAATGTGTGCTAGGAAAGAACTCCCCTTCAATGCTGGCGCTTACATTGAAAACAATGCAAGAGGGATCTGCTTATTCTAGCTCTCAGCCTGCTTCTAGCATATTTCCAGATGTCCTGTGACTCTCGCCCTCAAGACTGGCAAATTTTCCTGTGAGATTAGTTTCTCACAGGAAGAGAAAGTATGATTTTCTACGTGTAATATACTTGTATTGTGCTTTTTTATCATTTGGTGCTGACTGTACGCAACGTCAACAAAAATATTGGATCCTTGGTATTTTGCTCTCTTGGGGGAAATTGTAAAAAGTGGAGATGTCAGAGCATCATCCCTAGAGATATTCACTGGAGAGTGCCTTGGGGAAACTCCAAGACTGCCCCTTGGGCATTTGTGCCCACTTTGTGGAGCCCTGGGCAGTTTCTTGAGGGAATGCAGCCCTTTTAATGGACATTCTTACCCATTCAGGGCAACCCAAACAACAAATCCCTCCTGATTTCTATTTGAGATTTTTCTCCTATAATTAGAAGAACTAGAACCAGCAGGATATTTTTCATTCATTGCAACAAGCACATACATGCACACGTTCCAAGTACTAAGTCCTGCAGTTCCAAAAATAAGACACGGTCCCTGCTCTCACAGAGCATCACAAAATGCATAAGGTAAAACAGAGTCCCGTGATGCCAGCCGTGAGGTTAATTCTTTGAGTCAGATGACAGTATCATTCCTCTCCTCAATCCTTGTTAGAAAAGTGTAATTTTTCCTACAAGGAAACGAGCCAAACCTTTGTGCTCACACAGTCTAACTTTGGTAAGGGCGGTAATAAGGAGAAGCAGATGTCTGGGGCTTCCCCACTGGTGAGTGTGTGTGCCTGAATCCTGGTCCATCTGTCCTTGACTCTTTCTCCCAGGAGGTTTAAGCACAGAAGAAATGCTTTCTGTGGATCCTGCCGTTGAAATTTGCTTCCCCAGCCCTACCATCTAGCTCTGGCCGCTTCCTGCTCACTGGTGGGATAAGGGTATGGCTTCTCGCCCATGAACTCATTGTGGCCTTGCATGGATGACTTAACATCTTCTGGAATAGTTTTTACTTTATCATGTTGAACATTTATGAAGCAGAGATAATAAAGGACAGTATCTTTGTTATATATATATATATATATATATTTTTTTTCCTTTTTAAAGGCCAGTAACTTTCTAGTAAATTCTCTCCCTAGTTACACTTAAACATTGAGCTGATTTTAAAGGGACCTCAGATTTTTTGTAAAAGAGCATGAGAGAGCAAGAATAGACCTTTGTGTAAAATTTAATATTATATATCAGTAAATATTAGGTCTGTCCGTGAGCCAACATAACAGTGGCTTAAACAAGACAAAAGTTTTTTCTCTCATATGTAAACAAAGACTAAAGGTAAGGTATCCCATTGGCCAGAACTTAGTCACATGGCTATATGAGCTACAAGGGAGGCTGGGGAATGTAGTCTTTATTCTGGACAATCTTGTGCCTAACTTTAAAAAAATGAGGATTTTCGTGTGTTTTTGTTTTTTTGTTTTTAGAAAAATAGGGAGAGAATGAATTGGGAGGTAAGCAGTCTCTGTTTGGTACATGAAATGAAATCTCAAGTGTCATAATGTATCTTCTTTATTGTAAGGTCATTTGTGGTATTTTTCAGGTTTGAGGTACTAATTTCATACCTATAAGTCTCCTTCCCTAAAGTCTGCTCCCTGACTCATCAGGTACTATGATCAAAAACAGAGTAGAGAAAATGAGACAGTGAAGGGAGCGAAGCTGATAAAAATATGTTACTAGGCAGGTTACCACTGTGAGCAACTGGGGCTCAGTTCCACTAAGGAAGCATCAAGGAACTCTGTGGAATGGACCTTAGGATCATCCCTTCAAGGGACAGGGAAGCTGGGAGACTCATCCACCAATTTCTAAAACTCATTGGTTGAGGGTTGCTCCTCGGGACATTAAATTCCCAGTAATCCCAGGGTTTCCTGCACAGAAGCTGAGTCAGCTCACAGAGCACCGAAGTCCTTAATTGGAGAAGCAAAGAGACATAGGCGCTTGAAGTAGGAAGCTGTCCACATGCCAGGAAGTGCTCATCGTGGCTTCATGTCACCTCAGAGGTGGGCCAAAGGTGATAGGAGGCAGAACATTATTACATAGTGTCTCCCACAGGAGGTATTTTCATTTCAGTAGGAGGGAAGGACCAATATAGGATTAGAAAAGAGAGGACAGGGGACTTCCCTGGCGGCGCAGTGGATAAGACTGCTCTCCCAATGCAGGGGGCCCGGGTTCCATCCCTAGTCAGGGAACTAGATCCCACACGCATGCCGCAACTAAGAGTTCGCATGCCACAACTAAGGAGCCCGCCTGCCACAACTAAGGAGCCCACCTGCCTCAACTAAGACCCAGTGCAACCAAATAAATAAATATTTTTTTTAAAAAGAAAGGAGAGTGGGGGCATTTTACTATTGCCCCACTTAAAAGAAATAATAAACCATTCCACTAAATAAACCCAGATTTAAGCATATATGATGCTGGGAAAGAAAATCAAATAGACACACACAGATAAACACACACACACACACTCATGCACGCATACACACACACGAGGAATTATGGGAAATTGACATGACTATGCAAGGGTGCCTTTTTCTGCTTACTGTCTCACTGATGGCTTGATTGTGTTTTCTCCTGCAGCTACCTGCTCCCTGATGATAGCAAAGCCACCAAGCACAAAACTCTGGTAATAAAAAAGAGTGTCAACCCTCAGTGGAATCATACTTTCATGTTCACTGGCCTGCATCCCCAGGATATAAAGAATGTTTGCCTAGAACTCACCGTCTGGGACAAGGAGGCCTTTTCCAGCAACATCTTTCTGGGAGGAGTTCGTTTGAATTCTGGAAGCGGTGAGGGACTTGGTAAACCTGAGGCAGTCTGTGACTTGGTGTGGGGCAGGGGAGTGGTTCCTGCAGGTTTGATGTGTCCTAAGTGTATATTGTAGTTTCCTCTTAGCCGACTCTCGAAATTTCCACAGATGCTCCATGACTTTAGCCAAGGATTGGTTCATTGTTAAAATTACTACTATGTAACTTTGTATCCTTCAGCTAGAAGTGTGGGGTGTATAATGCTTATATTCAGTCCTTTCATAAAATACCATTTACACTTCAGTCTAAGTGAATTTCAACTACTTTCTTGGGCCTTACTTCAGGATTTGCTCGGGAGAGGATCACCAAGACAGCACATGCTTCTGACTGGGGAGAGCAGGACTTCCAAGACGAAATTGACTTCAACCTCTTCTCAGTTCTGTCCATGCTTGCAGCCATTACACTGCTTGAATCGAAAGGAAATCCATTTTTCCCCTAAAAAAATAATGTCTCGTGTTGTTCAAACAGGTCATGGAAACACACCACTGATTCCACAAGACACAACTTGAACAGGGCGAATTGGGGGGTGGGGGGAATTACAGCAGTAGAGCACGTGTATAGATTAGGGAGAGCCAGGGCTAGCTCTGCCACTAAAACAAAAACTCCCAGTCAGCTTGTTCTTGTGTTGTGTTAACTCAGTCTAGATGAGCCAGCTTTCTACTTAAACTACCAAAGTGAGGAAGAAATGAGCCCCTGGGGCCTTCCTGTTTTGTTCCCCATCTTCTAGGCAGAGTAGAGTAATGCAGGCTACGAAGGATGTAGTCCGTGCTAACTCCACCCACGAGATATGGTGAGAACAAGCCACTGAAGGGCTCTCTGGTCAGCGGGTCCGCCTCAGAGGTTGATAGGTGTCTTCCAGAAGATCAAAACATTTCATTTGTAAAGTGTAATGCTTCCCTTTCCCTTCTTTAGGTGTGAGCCATGGGAAGACCGTGGATTGGATGGACTCTCAGGGGGAAGAGCAACGCCTCTGGCAGAAGATGGTAGACAATCCTGGGACTCTGGTAGAGGGCGTACTCATGCTCCGTGCCAGCATGGGGAAGATTAAGCTCTGAAGGTACCAGTTCTCCAAAATGAGGCCTCTTGGGACTGTCTGGTTGTTATTTCCTACCAGTAGCAGGCTTGGGACCTGGGGTCTGCTTCCCTGCCATTTCTCACCTGAGGGTATTGGGACATGAGAGGAGAGATATCAGTGTTAAGAACACCTAGGGTCTTGCCAGGTGTCTAAAAAAGCATGTACCTCTCTATGTGCATGGGCCAGGGCTTTTTTGATTGGATGATAGAAAGTATACCACACTGTCGTGTCAACAAGCCAATTGTGCAATGATTCATAGGCTTTATACCGTACGGGAAATGGCACATGCTTATTTGAAGCTGCAGTTGAGATTGGGAGTCCCCAAACTTTTTCTAATTGTGAGTGACTTTAGGTTTTCTCAAGGTTTGAGGGGAAAGGGGGCCACTTGGAATGTAGATCACTTGAAGAGTAAGAAGAGGGGATAGTGGGAATCCCCATGATCCAAGGAAGGCATTGTGGGGATGGACGCTGGGGCAAGGGCGTGGCCCTCTTATTGTAGCCAACTTGTGGATTGACTGGGTAGGTTTTCAAGGTGAACTGAGGTTTTTCTGTGGTGACTATGTAATTGATACTCTAAATCGCCCCACTTTTGCGAGTGAAGAGAGCTAAATCATTACACCAGAACAACAGACGTAAACCAGGATTGACCTGGCAAAATTGGGATGTAGAGTCACCCTGATTATGACCTAGCTATTAGCTCTGTTGTAAACATTTATTTTATAAAATGTTCTAAGCTATTAACTAAGAGGGAATAAGAAGCAATGCACATTTTTGAGCCCCTACTTGTGTTATGTCTACGATATCCCATTGCTCAAAGGAAGTCCTATGGCCAAGCCCAAAATCAAGAGGCAGGGGAATATACTCTACTCACACTGAAGCCATGGCAAGAGCAACGATGCAGGAAGGAATGAAGGAATGTGGCCCGGAGTTCAATCTACCTTACCTTCTGTTCACCTGGGATTCCAGAGACTTTAGCCACCAAACTTAGGTATTCGTACTCCTAACTCCTTCACCTAACTCCATCACCTACTCCTAACACCAAACTTAGGTATTCATACTCCCTAACTCCTTCAGGGAGTTAAAGCTGAAAGGGACCTCAGACCTGGTTCCTCATTTTGAAGATTCCAAATCTGCAGCCCAGAAAGCAGAAATGACTTGCCCAAGATATTATAGAAGCTGTGAGTGTATCCAGACTTAAATCCAGGGTGTGACCCCTAGGCTAGTGTTCTCTTCACTGTGGTCTTTGGCGTGATCCGATGCTTATCGTGATAGACAGGAGGACATAGACCAAGGGAGGTGGAGCAGAGTCTGATTATTTGTGTGTGAACGTACCTGACCCAATCTTCTGGAGTCATGTTCTAACCCCTCAGCTCATTTTTTCACTTGAATTCATGTATTGATAAAATCCTTAAAAGGATAAATACTGAATTTTACTAGTAGGAAAGCTAGAATCATCTTCAGGCTTATTCTAGCTAATTGTTCCATATTCTGAATTTTTCTTGAATTTTGAAAACAGGTTTAAGAATATATTTAGCATTATTCTTAGAAAGGGGAATAAGCAATCCATATTCATTATTATTTAAAAAAAACAGGCTCTCTGATTCTAGAAAATTGAAGTTATTAGTCTAGTGTAGCTTAGTGCATATGGTACATTCTTTTAAACTCACACCCATATCCCTATGTTGCCCTTATTAAAAACAGAAAACAAAAAGTGTACGATCATCACTACTTCCTATATTGGAAATATAAATTGTCTTCAGACTTGATATGACTGAGTATGTCTTCAGAGACATTTTAGGGGAGGTGAGAGAGGGTGGCGATGGTGAAGCCTGGAGACATCTCTAAAGTAGACAAAATGAGGTAGATTTATTTGCTAATAATAAAAGTGGCAAAATTAATCAATTCCAAAATTTATAACTCGAACCCAAGATGAGCATGAACTTTATGTATTCAGACCTTTGCCACGGTCATAAAGTCCAACATCTAACTGGGTATTTCCATAATGCAAGACCCGGGTGTGCCTAAGTCCATCAGAAACCTGTTGGCGTGGCTCTTAAAAATGAAAGGTAAATTGATCTTTAGGCTACTCTTTTTTAAGTATAGTGTGGAAGTACAAAAAATATTTTTAATGTAAGTGATACATGTGAATGGCATAAAACTCAAATGGTTCAAAATTGTGAAAAGTAAGTCCTACCCCTTCCTCTTCCATATCAGAATATATTGGCAGCCTCATTCTTTTTTTATGGCAACAGGGTATTACATTATGGGATATATTAAATTTATTTAACCAGTCCTATCAAATGCCACATTAAATATGGTTAACTAAGCTATCTATGTTTGGTGGCTTTTCTAAGCAATCTTGTTTTTCACAACTAAACACTTTGAAATTCAAAATGAGATGTGTATATTGCACAGCAATTCTACTTCTGGGTATTTATCCTACAGAGATAGATACATATGTGAGAAGTGAGTACATACAAGGGTATTGCTTGCAGAAGATTGGAAACAACCCAAAAGCCCTTCAATAGAGGCCTTTGGCAATATCATACATGCCTAATTTTTCTGTTTCATTAATTGTTCCCTTTCCTTCTCTGTTAAAGATTGTTAACATTGGATTCTTTGATGCTTGTTCTTTCTTTTCTCCTCACTTTATCCATCCTCTCCGGCATTATCATGTAGTGTATGCTCATGATTTTATGATTATTTATATGCTTATAAGTACAGATTCACATCCCCAACCCAGATCCTTCCTCTCAGCCCCGGATCCAACCGCCTATATGATATCTCCACCAAGATAGCTCATGCTCTCGACATACTCAAAAATGAACTCTTGGGCTTCCCTGGTGGCGCAGTGCTTGAGAGTCCGCCTGCCGATGCAGGAGACGCGGGAAAAAATATATATTTATTTACTGATTTATTTATTTAGCTGTGCCAGGTCTTAGTTGCGGCGTGAAAAAAAAAAAAAAAAAAAAAAAGAACTCTTTATTCTACCTTCTCTCTTACACCCATGTCTTTCTACTCCAGTACATCCTGTCTCAGTACCTGGTACCATCATCCACCAGGTTATGCTAACTAGACACTGGATAGTGATCTTTTTTTTAATTGACATATAGCTGACTTAACAATATTATGTTAGTTTCAGCTGTACAACATAGTAATTTGATATTTTTATACTACAGTTATTCTAAAACGTTGAGAATATTCTATGTGCTGTACATTACATCCTTGTAACTTATTTATTTGATACCTAGCGGTTTGTACCTCTTAACTCCCTTCATCGGTTTTGCCCCTCCCCCATCCCTCTCCCCTCTGGTGACCACTACTTTGTTCTCTTTATCTGTGAACCTGTTTCTGTTTTTTAATTTAATTTAATTTTATTTATTTATTTACTTAGTTTTGGCTGCGTTGGTTCTTCGTTGCTGCGCGCAGGCTTTCTCTGGTTGTGGCGAGCGGGGGCTACCCTTCATTGCAGTGCGCGGGCTTCTCATTGCGGTGGCTTCTCTTCTCGTGGAGCACAGTCTCTAGGCATGTGGGCTTCAGTAGTTGTGGCACGCGGGCTCAGTAGTTGTGGCTCATGGGCTCTAGAGTGCAGGCTCAGTAGTTGTGGCACACAGGCTTAGTTGCTCCATGGCATGTGGGATCTTCCCGGACCAGGGCTCAAACCCGTGTCCCCTGCATTGGCAGGCGGATTCTTAACCACCGCACCACCAGGGAAGTCCCCTCTTTCTGTTTTGTTATATTTGTTCATTCGTTTTATTTTTCAGATCCCACATATAAGTGAAAACACAGTATTTGTCTTTCTCTGACTTACTTCACTAAGCATAATGCCCTCCAAGTCCATCCATGTTGCTGCAAATGGCAAAATTTTGTTCTTTTTCCATTGTATATATCTACCACAGTTTCTTTATCCATTCATCTGTTGATGGCACTTAAGTTGCTTTCACACCTTGGCTATTGTGAATAGTGCTGCTGTCAACATTGGGTGCATATATCTTTTCAAATTAGTGATCTTTGATTTATGCCTCTTCCTTACCCCGAGGCAAAATCAATCAGGGCATCATATTGATTCTACCTCCTAAATATCTCAAAAGCCTGTCCAGTTCTCACCATCTCCATGCCACCACCCGAGTACAAGCCACCATTATGCCTCTCTACGCTTATTACAGGTCTCCTAGCTGCTATCTTTGCAGCCACTCTTGCCCTCCCTCAATCCACTCTCCATACGGTGGCCAGATTTTCCCAACATGTTATTTTTAGATGTTCAAACATGCAGAAGAGTTGAAATGATTTTACAGTGAGCAACTTATACCTACCACCTAAATTCGACTTCTACCGCTAGCTATACTTTCTCATCATTGTCTATCTGTACATCCTCAAAGTGCTCTTTTGAAAAATGCACATCTGATCATGCTTTAAAACCCTCCGTGGCTTTCCATTGCCCTGAGAATAAAATCCAAATTCTTGCTCGGGGCCTGCCAAGCCCTGTCTGAGATGGTTGCTTCCTCCTCTCCAGCTCACCCCGGGCCATGCCTCTTTCTCTCCCCTGCTTTTCAGCCACGCAATGCATTTTTCTGCTTCTCAATCGTGCCAGCCTTTACTCCATCTCATGGCCTTTGCAAAGGAATCTGCTTGCTTGTTCTCCTCATCGGTCTGATTTCCATTCATCATCCAGGTCTTGAACGTTACCTGCTCGGGGAAACCTCTCCTGACCCCCTTCTGCCTGACTAGGTCACAACAGCCTGCCTCTCTCTCCTCTTCATTACATACGTCGCCATTTTCATAAATGATTCACGTAATGAGTCCTTTAATGCCTGTGTCAGTTCACTCCCCACCACATCCCTAGAATGTAAGATTCAGAAGGGCAGAGACAGTATTTATATTTAAATTGTTTCACAGCTATATCCCCTGTGCCTAGTTCAGAGTAGGTAATTTGAAAATATTTGTGGATTAAGTGAAAATGAAAAAAAAAAGTAACATCAG